AGCTGATCAAGTATTAGGTGAAAAGATGAAAGAAAGTCTAAAGAAAGAATATAAGAGAAGAGTGAAAAAGATACTGAAATCTAAGCTTAATGGAGGCAATATGATAACTGCCATAAACACTTGGGCTGTTTCAATGATGAGATACACGGCACCTTTCGTTGACTGGAGAAAGGATGAGCTGAAAGAAATAGATCGGGGTACTCGTAAAATGATGAATATGTACAGATCACTGCATCCAAGAGATAGTGTAGCAAGACTCTACCTACCCCGTAAAGAAGGAGGACGAGGACTTGTAGAAATTGAGGATTGTGTTCAGCTCGCAATTTTGGGGCTTGAAAACTATGTTCAGGATAGCAAAGAGAGGATATTGTCATCAGTGAGATGCGAGGCAGGAGAAAGAGTGTCAGAGAAAGATTTCAAGAAGCGAAGAAGAGAAGAGAGGCGATCAGAGCTAGAAGAAAAGGCGTTACATGGACAGTTTTTCAGGCAGACAAAAGAAATAAATGACCCAGAGTCATGGGGATGGCTCCGGGACGGGGAATTGAAAAAGGAGACTGAAGGACTGATAATGGCGGCGCAGACCCAGTCATTGCGAACAAATGCAATTAAAGCAAACATCGATAAGACGCAGAGGGACTCGAAATGTAGAATGTGTAATTAGAAAGAGGAAACAATAAGCCACATTGTCAGTGAATGCCCAAAACTGGCACAGAGAGAGTATAAACGTAGACATGACTGTGTAGCGAAAGCCCTCCATTGGGATGTCTGTCGCCTGTATGACATAGATTGTGGAAATAAATGGTACGAACATCAACCAGATGGAGTGGTAGAAACAACAAATGTAAAGATTCTCTGGGATGTCAATATTCAAACAGACAATGAAATCCAGGCAAGGAGACCTGACATAGTGGTTGTCAATAAGAAAGAAAGGAAGTGTTACATCATTGATGTTGCAGTCCCGGGAGATGTGAGAATAGCTGAAAAAGAGATAGAGAAAATAGAAAAGTATGACGAATTAAAGAGAGAAGTGGAAAGATTATGGAAAGTGAAAGCAAAAGTTATTCCTATTGTCTTGCCTGGATTGGAGAGCCCTTGGAACAGTAACACGAAATTTGAGCAACTACATCAAGGAAATTGGAGTCAAGACGCAGATAAAACTAATACAAAAATCTGTACTTTTAGGAACTGCAAGAGTGTTGAGAAAAGTTCTCGAGATCTAAGATCATGGGTATTGATCCGATTTCAAGAAACATCAAGAACAAGCCAGTTATAACATCAGAACTGTGTACATCAGCATAATAATGGAAACTTTTCATTTTGAATTCCAGTTAAAACTACAATTACAAATCTCACTATTACAAGGTAATTTGTAACTGGCTAGCCTGTTTTTACAAAATAAGTCTATTACAATCGTAGTAAAGAGAAAAGAAAAAGAAACGTTAAAAGGGGAATAGCTCTGGGTTAGTCCATGTTTTGTTTCTACAGCAGAAAATGTAATAGGTGGTATGAATGGATATCGTAGAAAGCTTAGAAATGAGATATCGTTTGTGTTGATCATCGATGGAAAGAGAGTCACGCATTTCAAGGAATGAGCCGCATGAGTCGCTGAAAATAATAATAATAATAATACGAATACTTCAACTTTGCCCCCATGTAATAAGATCCCTTTCGCGCATATTCAAGCATAGAAATACAGAGACGATGACAAGGAGCTCTACCATCTTGTCAGTTTCAGCATAACATACCCCATACCGATATTGATTACCATAATTACTTAAATTAACATAGCTTACACGGCTGTAAGTGGGAGAGCTAAAAAAGCAGCGAAAATACACGTAGGAGGCGGAGTGAAACCGAGGCCATTTTTGAAACATAAAAAACATTTCCTGACGTTTATAGGCATTTTCCTCGTATTCACAATCACAACAACACCGAACCAAGCTTTGATTCTGTGGTTGAATTCCCATCGAATACAAACACTTATTTTCGCTCTGCACGTTATACATTCTTCATCCTTCTTCATGCTTGCTCCATTGGTTCATTTACATGCTTGGATGATCCCTCTCATATGCATTTTCTTGGAAGGTAAATTCAGAGCTGCGTTGATTGAAATTGCATGTCAAGATAGGCGTAAAGCAAACCAACACAGGATTAGTGAGGCGAATTTTGAAAGCAAAGACTGTCAAAAAGAAAGAAGACAAAGATAAGAGATCGAATCAGCAAACTATCGAAACGAAAGCTTCAATTTGGGTGTAGCTGGACTAAATTAATTGAGATGAACCTGAATAACAGCCTTTCCCAGGCACCGCGGAGAAAGCTAAGAAAAGGGGCGGTCTAAAAATCTAACGGGAAGACTTTAATGATGGTTGATTTCACAATCTTTCGCATTTTTTGCAAAAATTTCTACGTGGTGCTAGTTTTCTCAAATATCCTGATCAGAATACCTCGCTACTTTAAAGAGTTAGCCAATTTTGTCGATCTCAAGTCGCTCCTTGACTTTTTAATCTTCGGTTTGTTGTTGGAGCGTTCTAAAAGCACACGGTGGTAGGAATTTCCCAATTATTGAGAACTGATGATATCACATATATGTTTCAATGTGAATTGTATTTCTGTTCACCTTTTCCTTCAAAAACAGCGAGGTCTGATAACATTTCAGTTGGTCACAGCCTGTCATTTGCAAAACACAAATTATAGGTGTATCTAATAAAGAAGCAAAATATAAACTTTTATTGTTATTTTGTTGTTTTATTGGTGTATCATATAACGCCGCAGATTACACAAACATTGTATAAAATTCTATAACAGATAACATTTTAACTAAAATAGTTATTTACCAAATATAGCTTGGAATATCTGTTTTTGTAGGCTTATGAATTTTCTTCGCAAAAACAACAGTAACTACGCAAGAATCTCGTCATGTCATCTTACATCATATTATACGATGAAGTGAAATGTGTTTACGCCTATCTTGACATGCAATTTCAATCAACGCAGCTCTGAATCTACCGTCCAAGGCACTCGGTTAAGCAATACGCAGAAACTTCGACATCAATTTTTGATTCATCTTTTGGCTTAGGCCATCCACTTTACAAAAACACACGATTGCGTGAAAACGAGGCAAATGGATTACGAATAGCTTAATATGACTCAAAATGTTTGCTTTTTTCAAAGCCATTTTCAAGTTTTGTACCACCAAAAGATTATAGTTTGCAGAATCCTTGTATTTGTACTTTTATGCGTATTGGCGTGTTTTCGTATTGACAGGAGAAAATAGTTTGGAAGCGAGTTCACGCCCCAGTAATGAGGGGCTTGTATTCGTGGGACTATATTTTGGGGATGACTACTTTCGGAACTTTACTTTATTTCATACTCTAGTTATTTAGTTGAAAAGACAGAAGGGCTATTCTGGAAAAGTCCTAAAAGATCTTTGTTGTCCACCATTAGTTTCTTAGCTTACTTTCTTCGACACTACAGATTTTTCGTACAGAACGTAATTAACACTTGTTGACTTCTCTAATGTAAGACACTCGGTTAAACAATACGCAGAAATTTCGAAAAAAATTTTCAATTCATCAATTCATCTCATCCACTTTACAAAAACACACGGTTGCGTGAAAACGAGGCAAATAGAATACTTGATCCCCTAAAAGAGTTCCTTATTGGGAGGGGTTTAAAACAACTTGAATTCACCATCTAATAATATAAAAGATATTATTGTTCTTACAATCCAACAAAGACCTCTTTCTTTTTTAAAAGTGCTTAATCGTAAGTGCAAAAAACAGTTATTGAAATGTATAAACTTGACAATGATGTTGAAAACTCCATATCCATTGCTCAATGGAAGAAAAATCATTCATAGTACCCAAGCCCAGTGCGAGATTTTCCATATAACATCCATGACACTTAGCTAACATATTCTGTTTATATTTTGCATAACACACATTGATTACTTTCAGGAGTTTGTAAACAATATTTTGGTGGCACAAAACTTAAAAATGGCTTTGAAAAACGCAAACATTTTGAGTCATATTAAGCTATTCGTCTGAAACTCTTCAGAGTATAAAAAACAAAATCGTCGTTCCATCTAGCAGTTTTGGAATTTTTCCGCATAAAAATGAAAAATAAAACTTTGTTGTGTAGACAGGAGGAGTTTGTTTTTACCTTCGGGCTCCATTGGTAACATTTTTAATAGGCAAGCGACACTGATTGGGCAACCTTAACAGACATATGCTCACGTTTTTGATTGGCCTATTTTGATCCGTAGAGTTTTCAATCTATGTTCTGACGTTTTATACTCTGAAGAGTGTCAGACGAAAAGCTTTCGTATGACTCAAAAAGTTTGCTTTTTCAGAGCAAATTTCAGGATTCTTACCTTTGCATTCATTCTCTGCAGACATTCAAGGATGTAAGCATCTATACTAACAATGTTTTCTGTTGACACGGACTCCATGTCACGTCTGAATGAAGCGAATTCTTTTATTTTCAAGACCATCGCTTTGCTCATAGATTTAATTTTATTTTAAAGCCGAAACTATCAATGAAAGCAAAAATAATTTGAAAAATCCTTGTCTCAAAAGGAGAATGTTTGCGATTTGCTGAGGGCCTCTACATATCTTGATAAGAATGTTTGCTGCATATCTTAAAGTTGTTTTGTGCTGTCATCTTGTTCTTTGCAGCAAAACTTGTGTTAAATACTCATTGCTAACAATGGGCCTTTGCGAGCGTGGCGACGATCCAAACAATGCATTATGGGGTACTGTCTAAAATGCATTATGGGATGCTTGCGTAGCGCAATGGCTCATTGTTAGCAATGACTCTTTAAATGAAAATATCATAACGAGAGTCAAATAGAATCAGACAACATCATATTGTAAAGTTTAAATGATATCTGGATGCAAGGGAAAGACATAACTTCGATATAACTGATGAAGTATATTACCGTTCGTGTCTTCTTAACAGAAAATGTTGTACAAGCAGGAGATAATGACAGAAACAACACATTATTTTGAATTTAATGCAGACTGCTGCATCTCTTAGCTATCACATCTTGGTAACGACATTAAAATAAATGTACACAATTTTCAGGTTTAGAAATTACGCTCATTAATCGAAAATAGAAAAGATGCTCATTTATAAAAATGATATGAGAACACTGAAAATGAAAAAAACTGCGAAACACTGAAAAATAATTAAGAAAAAATGCCATAAGAAGCATGATAAAAGGGTTTTTAAGCTCCGGTAGCAGAACGATTCCTAGATATGGATGCAGAAACATCCAAGAGCGACAGAAATCTACACTAAAAACGTAAAAATAGAAAATGAACATAAACAAAATGATCCAATGGTTTCCCCCTTGAAAACACGATACAGCCCCCCTTGCCCGCGATAAAAAATTGACAAGTAATCGAAGAAGACCCTGCTTCATTACTTTTACGCGAGAGAAATACTTTGGGCAACGAAGATTATCCTCTAAAATTCCCCTTCTCCCACCCCCTTCCCTCTCCATTACACCAATTCAAGGGACATGGGTACGGATGCGGATAAAAAATAGCTTGTCATCTTTACTAGCTTTGATCTCTAGATGCGTCGCCATAAACAACGAACTAGGCTGGCATGAAATTTGTCGTAAATTTAAGTCTAGCCTGATAATCATTAAAGAAAGTAAAAATTGTGAAAGTGGAAACTATCAAACAGCTACAATAACTATCCAAGGTATTTTCAAATTACTACGATGTAGCAAATATGTGACTTTTAAAAGCACCTTAAGAAGTCTAAAACGGAACAATGCTACAAAAATTGCAGAACTAAAAAGCTATCTTGATTAGAAATCTCAGGCTTAAACCTGTTAGAGCGCTTAAAAGGTCTGATGAACCAACAGAGCCACGAAAAACACAATATACAAGGCAAGATCGTCAATCAATTTCATCTACAAACTGGAAGGCAATAGGGGAAGCTAACTACACTAAGAGCCTGCTACATCCATTCCAAAGCTAGTTCTAGTCTGCATTCCGTTAAAGGCAATCTGTCACGACGTTGATTGATTATAAGAACAAAGGGATTTTTTATTGTTTCCGGTCCTACTTTAATTTATCGCATTGTAAAAATTATGGCGGAGCGCTGGAATCGTGTTTAGGCTATTGTTCCAGCTATTGTTCTCGTTAACCAATCCACAACGAGACAGATTGCGTTTAACAGTGGACCTGGTGGGTTCGATGCCATTTTGCAGTCTGTACTCCTTGAATCATTTTCAAGGTTGGACTGTATGTATGATTTTAAGTAGGTTCATGGTTCAGGTCCTAGAAAATAAGATCTGGTCAAGAGCAGATATGCAGATACACAAAAATTTGGATGCATATCTGTGTAAAGGGGTCTTGAACTGTGCATTTTTCTCAAACATAAAATAGGTCCAGAGAAGTTAAAAGTCATCAAATGGTTTACGATTCCCACGGCCCCTTCACTGCAAAGTCGATGTCTTTAAGAAGTAGGTGCAATACCGATTTCACGTCAGTTAAGTAAAGGGATTGTCATCTTTCTAGATGAAAATGTCAAATCGCATTTTGTAGAACTTGAAATTTCATTCAGGTCAATAGTTTATTCGAATACTTTACTTTCTAGTTACTTTCTAATTCCAATAAATAACTACCTACACGATTGCTATATTCGAGACTTAAAATATATATCTGTAATAATAATATCAATTGTGAATGATCTGTTGAACAACTCTGATAAAAATTCTATCGAACCAAGAGGTGCCTTCATGCGTTTAGCCTGTTAACGAGTAATCTAGGCCCTCTAACTAATCGATTCCAAACCTTAAAATTTCTATTGCAGCTTTCCAAAATTACCAGCCACGCTATGATGTAACGCAATGATTACATAAAGTACCAAAAATTCCGTTGCCAAAAAAACTCGATAGATTAATTTTGGGTGGAAAAAATCGTTCAAATTTATGAAAATTCGATGTAAATTTTGGTGAGAATTTGAAAAATTAAGGTGGAAAGAAAAATTTCGATGGATAAAGTCGGTGGATCGGTGGATGAAACATTTTCAGGAAGCATAGTTGCTGTGAGCTATTTCTAACTCTATCCTAAACATAAACTCTAATTTAGAGGACGACCTTTTTACTTAAACTCTTATAGCTAATGGAGGAAAATTAATTCGAAACGTTTACGGTTCACAATATTCGCAATCGTCGATCACAACGCAAGGGTTGGAAATTCTGATCGATCTTGAGTTAAAAATTGAGGCGTCTAAATTGAAACCGCTTGAACGTTAGAAAGAAATAATTGAGAAAAATCATAAAGGCCCAGTAGATGCAGCAGTTCAGCCCATAGAGAACTCAAATTTCTTGGATATAACGGGCGAAACAGGAGAGCGTGAAGATGAGCTGTATATTCTATTTGTCCCAGAAACTGAAAATTGATCCATATAGGATACAAAGTAATACTTTAACAGCTTCAAGGAAAAATTTTTTTATTATTTTGAAAGTCCATCGGTGTGAAACGAAATTTTTATAGCGTTTGAAAATTTTTGTAAGAAAAAATTTCGGTTTAGAAAAAATTCAGTGGGATTAATTTTTGGTTGCCCTGCTGCACCGAAAATAAATCCCACCGAAATTTTTGGTACTTAATGTACCTGTGAAAGTGATCAGCTCAGAAATCGAACCATAATTAAACAAATGAACGATCCCTAGAAATGATGACTGTCTTTATAGGATGAACAATTCAAAACATGCTATATACAACGACATATACAAGTTCTGTTCTACCATTGGGTCTTCGATAAGCTGATTCAGTTGAAACAAAGAACAAATAAAAACCCTAATTGATGGATTTCAAATCAATCAAATTGCAACTGATCGGTCAATCACTTTCAAAAGATATCACAAATGATTAATCAAGTTAACGTCGGTCAGGCAATGATTACTGACAAGGCATCTTGCACAGCTCTGCGCGAGATCCTTCTATCCTGTGCTACACTGGCTCGATATATAAGCAAGAATACGTCATTAAAGGGTTACTGCTTCACAGATTGCCGAGTTTCAACAGATCAAACACAATTGTATATAATCAACCTTTTAGCACGTTTCAACTGTACCATCAAACTACAAATATCACTCACAATTTCAACTTTTTTGTCCCCATCGAGTCACGTGTATTGTTCGAAAAGCCGCCGAGGTGTATTGTGGGTGGACTGCAGGGGCATTTTTTGGTCTTCGTATGATTTTCATTTGCTGTTGGATAAGATAAAATTAAATTCAGGCAACATCACTTGAACCAGTTGGGTATTCAGAAGGGAAAGCGAAAGTGCAAGAAAGAAAAGGAGCCAATATTTCTTTTAAAGAATAAGGTTATTGCCGAATTCTTATTGGGACTTATCTTTGAAGGACACGCTGCTACAATACTTCCAAGGAAAATGACTTTTTTCACTTTGAAGAGAGTGAAAAATAATTCTTCACCACAATCAAGAAAGGTCGGGTAACAGGGCTATGTCTGATGGCTACCAATTTTTATCTTCAAAGATAAATTGTTTTTAAGAGAGAAACGACGATTATTTCAAGTACCAGTTATGTCTCATTCTACTCGACATCCCCCTAATTTGATCTCACGTATGTGTTACTATTCTAAGATAATCGCTCACTTTTATGTTATTTTACAATGGTTAATTTGAAGTACGGATATCCACAGTAGGGCCCCAACTACATTCTGTGCCCAAGGCCCCAAAATTCTAAACGTGGCCCTGCCCCTAACGAGGAAGAAAATCTGGAAATAATGAAAACATTTAAAATTGAATGCATCGATAAATGATGTATTTCAGTTCTTAATAGCCTACATTCAGTTAAAGCTTTCTGTAAAAAGCGACAATTTTTAGTGCATAATAGACATTGCCGGGAAATTCAATCTGGTTACTTCTTTTTACGACGATGAAGTTAGGGAAAGGCCAAGGAGTCAATAGCAAAGCCCTAACAAGGGAAAGAGATAGGAATTTGGGCAAACGAGGGAGAGAGGAATTGTCAAGCCTGTTTATTTTAGTTGTGAATAAAGGCACGTTGCAATACAAGAATCTGGGAAGCAGGAATAAGATAGAGCGTTGGAAAGTTTGCAAGTCCTGGGGAAGAAGTTGGGTTGTGAGACAGAGTTCGTCAATTTGGCAAAGACATTTGGACTGGTGCAAGCAAATTTTGCTAGCTGCCAACACCAATTTCATGATCAATGTGATCACCAGGAAAGTATATAATATCACTAAAGAAAAAATCACTAAAGAGAGAAATCACTATAAAGAGAAATCACTAAGAAGCATAAAGTAATTCGGCTTCTTTTTGGATTCCTATAAGCAAGCTACATACAATTAAACAAGAACAACAATAGGTTGTGATACTAGGTGTTGAAATATTTTACTGGATCAACTTGATAAGAAGTTCATAAAAAATATCGACCATTCAGAAGGCGATAAAATGAGTGAATACGTCTTTAGAATGGAACAATTCAGTTTGATTTGCATTTAACGCTGCTGTGAAGTTATAGATAGAAATCTTACTGGTCTCCATCGCACGTCCTCTTGCACCGACTTTTCTTTAGTTTTTATTGATGGGTCAGGCTCAGTTGAAGTTCTTTGGTCTATTGCATTTTTGTAACCGTTGCATTTTGAATCATCCTGCTCTGCTTGAGTATTCTACATAAATACAATATAATTCGATATGTAGATAAAAATGCAATAGCTATAAAAACAACGCATTGCTGAGTCGCTATTCTGTTCTTATCAAAACTTTGCTCCAAAATTTACCTAAACTTGGTAAAAAGGAACTCGTAGTTTTCATAAACAAATGTTTTTTTCTAAAAGTCAGAACTTTATAAGAAAGATAGTATTCGAATATTGAAAAACGTAATGAATATCTAGCACTGGATTGGAAACAAAGTAATATTTAAAGCTTAATCTTTAAATCTTTACTTCAACCAGAATTAGCAAAGTAAAGCACACGAGTATATGAAAGCTTTTGTAAAATCTAGTACCATAGAAAGCACGTTTGTGATATCGCAGTTACATTTGATATTCTGATTTAAAAGAAGAAGTTTCGTTATGTTGATTATTTACATTAACAACAGTGCAAACAATTTTATTCGCCAAATTATATCGCCAAACTTTATTCAATAATTTATCTTTACTTGTCTTCAGACATCATTGAAACCTATATTTTTAAGTTCTTAGTTTACATCTACTTAATTTCGAGTAATCAAATTTGGCTGTCAATTAGAGAATGATCAGAATTGGACTTTGGCCAAACTTCCAGAAAAAATTTGCTGTGTATCAGCCACAGTAAAGCTTCATAGCGAATACAAGGAGATCATTTCGCAGGCTGGTCACTCTACTTATAAAGACAAGGCTGCATAAACTACATTATACATATCGAATTATAAACGGCTGTAATTTTATTCTTACAGGCGAGCCAACATTTAAAGAGGGCATCATTCTTTTAAGCAAATTTATCCTTCAAAGATTGGCAGACTCTTCTTTTTCGAAGGACCTGAGCTGAAATTCGATACAACAAAAGCCTTTGAATAGTCAGCACAGCAATGGGCACAGCTGTTGGGACATGCTGCTAAACATATTCCAGTAACCATCAGTTTATGTGACAACTTGCAAATCCTTCTTACAATTCTAAGCTGAAGCTCAAGTATTTGGATAGCTGATATATCGATAAAAAGGAGTCCGCAACACATGTGTTATCTTTACCAATAAAAACAACCAAACTTACCACTAGGAGTATCAGGAATACACCCAGTGACCCCAGGTTAAGAAAGGAAAACTCAAGAGATAGACAGATATGTTTCTCATTTAGAGCTTCTAGGTCTCGAAATAGTCTCTCGGCTGAATGACTTAAGACATCTTCCCTGTACAGCTTCAAACAATATCTTTGTTAATTGTTAAAATATGTTTACCATTTTTTTTATCATAGATCTTTATTCTAGATACATAATTTAGATTATAGAAGGGTTTTATAAAAGTATGTTTATATTGAGTTCTAATTAGGTTAATTCATTTTTCTATAATATAATAGTTTTTGCATGCTTTGTAGTATAGGGCCCTTGAAAAGCAGCACTGCCTAACGCCCAACTTAAACATATGAAATGAAACTTATAGCTACTGTGGAACCAACGTCAGGCATTTGAATGAGAATCCCCTTATGCAACATACAGGAACATATAAATGTCGTTTTAGGCAGTATTGAAAAAACATACCACTTGATTTACTGGCGGAGGGCTTAATCTTCTGTGCGAAACTTGCTCCGTTGTTTTTAAGTTGTGTATTTCATCTTTCAATGACTTATTCTTCTCAAGCAACGACTGTGGGATAAATGGTTGTGTCAATGTGCTAATAGAAAAGCGTTAGAACTTTCAACACAAGGTAAAACGATTTTCCAGAAATAAAATACACAAATCAAATTTGGTGAATCAATAGCTTCCTTCACCCAGATACATATACTCGCATTTTTTGCATATTTTCATGAAAGCCCCATACTACACTGACAATGGCCCCGTATGCCGGAACAAAATATTAGTTGATTTAAATTTACTTGCATGTTTTCTTTCTATTACTGAGGCGTTCTGCAAACTTATCAAAGTCATAACAGTTCGCACGCAAATTGGTTATAAATGCAAATCACATAAAAACTTTACAATGACAGTTTATACCAAAATATTAGTCGTCCACAATCTTATACTACCTCGGTTTTAACGTAGGGACCCGATGTATGTATAAATCGATCCCTTAATTCAGTTGATTAACTTAATTAAATCGATCCCTTAACTTCATATGGCATAACAGAATATGGAAAAAGCTTTCAAAATCTACATGTGATCAAGAACTAATTACATAACGAAAAAATATTTTTCCTCGCTATTAAATGTAAAATCAAATCAAGACAAAACTGAGAATAATTTTCAGGCGGGTCTGTTTATTTAAATTAGAAACTTAAGGCTAAGGGGCCTTAAAAATGGGCATACACGCTACATGACAACCAGACACCCTTTCAGAAAAGACTACTTCCGACTCTGCAATAACATTCTACGAGATGAGCTTCTCAATTACAGCTGAATATCACATGAAAACGTTACAATCACAGTACAGACCAAAATATTAGTCGTCCATAATCTTATACTATCTCTGTTTTAACATAAGGGACCCGATGTATAAATCGATCTCTTAATTCAGTTGATTAACTGTATTAAGTCGATCCCTTAACTAAATATGGTATAACATATGGTAATTCAAAGCAACTTATATGAAGCAATGCTCATCATTTCCCTGCTTGACCAGAAATTAAGTTTTCCATACGTACTGCAGACTCTAATTGTACGCAATAACAAATTTCTTGCAAATTAGCCTAATTTTAATATGAACCCTTCGCATACGAATAATCGTCTAGAGCTCGTTATGTTGTAACCTTCCAGTGATTTCGTTTTGCAGAAAATTCTTCTCCCCTTCTTGTACCCATCTCCCCCCCCCCCATCTTGCCCCCATCTTCCCCTTTGAATGATTTTGCTTCATTCAAAATGAGAGCTTGTCATTGGCAAAAACTGAACAACAGCAGAACGTTTCTTTGATAATCGCAAATTACAGTCTCTGTTTCACACTACTTGCGATCGTGTTCGAGAGACTAAAAATTCTTGTAAACTGATCAGGGCTAGCTGGCGCTGTTTTGAATCTGAGACAAAATACATTTATCGCTTTGTTTGCCCCTGAAAACAATATATATCTTAAAAGCGTATTATTCAAAGAAATTCGACTCTTGATAACCTAAAATGAGTCTGTGTTTCGGCGAATCGGTGAATTCAATATTCACAGACCTTGACTTGTGAACACGTTGCGACATAAGAATCCCATGGCTGGAAACTGATCCAACACTCCTAAGTTCAGTATGCAAATATTTTCGATGGCTATTGATGACCCAAATCTATTTAAACACATAATCCAGTCAGACATATTCATCAATTTCTCTCATGATATTTGGATTTACTTTTCCAGGACTGCCAAATACTTCCCCCATTCACTGAAATAAACAAAGACTCCAACCGTCCTAATCTCTGAATCCCATCCTTCATTCACCCTTTTATCGTGGACTGCCGTTGCTCTTATCCTTAATTATTTTTGGATTTAAACAATTACGGCGGATAACTTGAGATGCGGCTCGTGAAGACCTGTCCTAACAAAGTATGTCTTATTCATGACGATGTTTTTGCATGACTAATGTCTGACACGCAGAAAAACAAACGAAAAGCTCCATAATGTACCAAAAAAACTTCTTTTACGCATTCTATTTGACTGGTTGCTCTACCAACTCTTTTTCTCACTTTTAGTAAGAAACCTGCAGCAAGGTTTCCAAGTTTAGACAAAAGCAGGTTAGAGTATAATTTTTTCCCCAAGTTTCTTAACTTCTTAAATTCAAATTTCATAAATTACCATTGCTCATTAAATTATGCTAATAAAATATTTATGAACCAATAGTATTTGTCATGAAAACAACATTCCTAGTTTTAGCTTGAATTATCATAAACAAAAATACTTTAATCAAAACAATAAAATAAGAAATGAAACAGTCTGAAGGACATTGAAAATAAAACGTTGATATAACACAACTAAATTATTCCTTGTAAATTCTAAAGTCTACGTAAATTCTAACTGACCACAAATAAAGTCTATTATAGTAATTTGATGTTCTTGAAGAAACTCATTAAGGTTCTGGAAAGTGATTTCTTACAGAAAAGAGACTTTGTTGCACTTACTCGCTGTTATAGTATTAATCAGACATAGTGCATCTAATGGCTTAATGTAATACCAGAAAATAAAAGAGCTATGTATGACGTCAGTGTGAGCTTAACTAGATTGATCAGACTGTCATAAAACAAGAAGAGATGCAACAAAAAGCTCACTCATTTTAACTAATTGCTTGACAGTGGTAAACTTTAAGGTCATTGAACACGATGAGCTTCATTTCTAGCTAGCCAAAATAGATACAGTCGGCGCAGCAAAACAGACAGGACATATCGAAGGTAATACCAAAGCCTAACGCAAAAACGTTCTAGCAACCCAAGAAAGAGCGTTGCATTTTTCAACATCGCAGTCATCGCAAAAATCGCTCCGTTTTACCTTTAAGACGGAATTATTCATTTCCATAAAATTCCAGTCACATTTGTCTTTAATTAAAAAACAAAACAAACCAAGAAAATGACAGGATCGAGCTAACAACGCCTACGAAAAACGAAACAACCAGACTGTCTGGAAGAGCTGGTCTTGATTCAAATCAAGTACAATCTAACAAAAAGACGATACTACGTATCAAATGACGGTCTGCAAACAGATACAAAGTTCACCTAACCGACTAAAGTGTATTGTTATTTAAAATATTGTTTGGGGTTAAAATCAACCCTTTCCTTTTTAAGACTAGAACACCAGTTACGCAATAGTCAGAGATCTGAAAGAGGTTGGGAAATATTGGTTTTAAGGTGCTCAGGAAAGTCAAGAACGAATTGAGATCACTCATCTTTGTCTAAAACAAAAAACCATGGGGTCCGCTTAAAGCAAACCATCTTGCATCCATCAAATATCCCATCATCGCACCCATCATTCTGCAACCCTTATCTCTTAAATCCTCTCCCCATACTCCACTTCACATACTCCACTTCCCCATTCAACTACTTCATTCTTCACACTCCTTTATTCTTCAACATCTCGACCTCCCACGTCCTCAAACATTCTCTAAAAACTCCAACAAACAAATGTGCTGACATGCCTTCCTCCTCATAATGGCAGTAACAACCTCGTCTCAGTAAGGTGTAAATGCATCGCAAAACGCCCCTCAATTCAATGATTATGCTTAAAATTAAAAGTATACTTTACCAGCTTTATTTTATCCGGGGTTTGTCCTTTTAAAAGTGACTTCAACAAATCAGTTTTCGCTGAGATCCGTGGAGTTGGTTGCTTTGAGCACTTTTGCAAGTTGTCCATGCTAGAAGCTTTTTTCATATCAGAGTACCCCAACGATTTTTTAAATGAATTTGACACAGACTGAACTTCGACAATGTCACCCTAATGAGGCAAAGTTAAGATAACTATTAATCGCACACAGAAAATCAGAATTAGCCTTAAACAATTAATCGCAATTAATCCCATACAGAATAATCAATATTCGAAGGCACTAATCGCATTGGATTATTGTACAATATTTCGGTTATGGGACAAAGAAATATACAAATCATACTTTTTAAACTAGCACAAAGCGAGGTTATTAGATTATTCTTTGCAATCTCTAATGTTAAATGATACCCGTAAACGTGAGTGGATATCATACGCGCCTAAACCTGAAGGGGACTTTGGCCAAAGGAACTTAGTAAAACTATCATTTTTCACAATTTAGGGGAGAGAGATCACGAGATTCGAAACAAAAGCTAGAAACACAGACTAAAATCAATCTTCAACAGCTGTGCAAGGATAAATCTGGTGAAAATGAAGAAAAATACGCTCGCAATAAGACCACGCTTTCTATTTATAACATCTATTCCCTCTCATGTGAATTATGACTTAAATTAGACATTTTAATCGTTTCTGTTCTTGGTTTATATTCAGTTTCAGATTTATAAAATAACAAAATGCGAACAACAAAAACGATAAGCAACAAGAACTGCACATATCTGCTTCTTCTGAATTCAAAGCAGACGTTTCAACTATTTCATATGAAGCCAAGCGCCCACATGCGATATTAGCGTTTAAGCACAAAAATTTCCGTGTTTGTAACAAAGTTGCTCATCTACACGGATTAAAACCAAAATCATTTTCGCTTTTCAAAAAAACGACCTGCTAGATTAAAAATGTCTAATTTCAAAAGCCTGAAATAGCGGATTTCTTGCAGTGGGCTTGTTTTGCCGCAGAAGTGTAGAGATCAGGTTGATTCCAATGGAATTCTTACCGCACCTTGTTGAATTTTAGGCCTTATTGTGTAAGAGTATCCGATAAACAATAAGTAAGTTACTGATAACATGACCACATAAACCGAACAAGGAACACAGAATAGTTCTGTGAAGCTAACGGAAGATTCACAAGTTTGACACAGACACTAAAAACTGCATCACATCTACTGGAAATTTCATGACGCATCTAACTAAACTGGAAAAGCTTGGCCACCAGTAACCAAAAGCCATTATGAGGCCCGTGTCTATAAGATCGTCAACATACAATTGACAATCAATGCTTATCACACAAACTTTCTTAGACATTCTTTGGCTTTTTGTAACGTTAAAACCTGCAACAGTTTCAACTTATAGGGAGTTGCTTGAATTTGTGCTTATAAGGTGAACCTGGCTAAAAAAACTATACAGATCGTCAAGCGACCAATGGAATCAGGACGTTCGCAAGTAGATTCAGTTTCTGATAAGTTCCCCTTCAGGAGAATTTGAAAGGAGTAAAATTTCTAAGAACTGAAAGTTGTTTTCCCATCAGAATTAAAATGATTTGGAAAATCTGCAAAAAAACATTGCCAAGTTTCACAAATACATATAACCTAATCCTTTGAGTAAGTACTCTTTTCCCCACTTTAGAAACCAATATTTTGCCTTCCAATCTTTTGGTGATTTGAAAAAAATTTTTCTATCGATATAACATCATATCACCAGGTACTGAGCAACTTAACGAAGTAGCTTCCTGTTAAAGTCTTGCTCACTCTCTAAAAAACAAGCCCCACTAATTGCTAGCTTTCTCAGTTATTGAAGAGTATTTGGCAGGCATGAGGGCATGGGGACAAACGTCCGTTTCCTAGGCAACTTAAAAACATTAGCTGCAAATCAGTGAGTCCAAGAGCACAGCTGTTCTGTGAAAACACGAACGAGTCGAAAACAAGTCATTGTGCTAATGCAAACTTATTCCATTGTTTCAATGTCACTAAAAACCGACCTGAGCTTTCAAACAAACCAACAAAGCTAAATGCCGAAAACGGCAAGACATTTTGAGAGCCAAGACTGAAAACCGTTGACCTAACGCCCTTTGCTCTTTCGGGTTGCTAAAACCTTTCATGCTGAAAGGCGATTACTAGTCTTCGAAAAGGCACAATAAAAATGAATTTTGTCGGCGTTTGAATTTTAAAGTGGATAATCAGCCCACAAATGTTCATGTTGAGCAAAGTTTACAATCACTGAAACAAATCAATGGTGGCGAATTCTAGGGATTTATAGAGAAGGAACTCCCTTTCGCATCCAGTTACTGTTTCATACAAACCAAAAAGTAACTTTTAGCGACCTGCACAAAAAGTGCAACAGCGTTTGAAGGCGTATTCAAAGGCTCGAAACAAAGTGATTTAAAACTTTGATACATGGGAATAGCCTAAAATTCTTTCACCACAATGCCACAAAAGATTGTTATGCATTTTAGCCGTCTAGGGGTCTATAAATTAGCTCTGCTATAAGATCCCTTCCCAACCATTTGGTTTTTTTTTAAATTTTCAATTTCATCTATTTAATGACTTGGTATCATAGATTATGGTAAACCTAGTCCAATTCATGTACTCGTTTCTTTATTTTTTTATTAATCATAACTTAAATTGTAATTCTTGTTGGTTGAAACAAAAGCTCTTATGTCTTAGCAAGATCCTGTCTACTTCTTCCAGAATAACTTTGAATTTTGAAATCCTGAAATATCCCGGGCACAATTGCAAGTTTGACGTTCCGTGCCTGGCGTTTCCGAAAACAAAAAGGATCCTTTAAAAAACACGGAGCATTATCTTGTCGTGCTACAATGAAGCTTTTTGGAAAATTAGGGCCACATTCTCCCAGTTTCTTTAGGGATTGCCACCAGCTAATGACTTCGTACCAAGTCGTAAAATTTATAAGTCTACACCAACAATGGAATGTCAAAACTACCTGCTTGCAATAGGGACTTGCATCAGCTAGCAACTCTGCGACTCAAATGTTTTCTCTATGCATGCTTTGTTTATATTGAAAAGTGTACAGAGTTTCGCTGCCTCCTATCTTTACCCTTTTTTATCCTCTGGAAAGCACTAAAAATTGTAATCCTGTTGACCAGATTTACTGGCGGAATCAAACCAGATTTCATCTTCTTCTGGATAATCCTATTCAGCTTCCAGTCTTGCAATTTACAAACGATGTCCTTAGGTAAATGGAAAATTAGATCTACTGGAAAATCTTCATGCCTTAACAGTGGCGTTATTCTCCTGGTGACTATGTGACAACTTGTCACAAGAAATTAAAGGAAAATTATATTTTTCTCCTAGGGATTACTGTATAGACTTTCACAAAGGATTCACTAGCGAAAAGTTCCTCAAGCAATCTTTTAAGCTGCAAAATTTGAATAGCTTTGAAAAAGGCACACATTTTGAGTCATGCTAAATCTTTTCATCTGACATCCTTCAATCCACAACTGGGTATACATAATTTCCAGAGCAGAGTTTTCGATCTATGTTCTGACGTTTTATACCCTGAAAAGTGTCAGACGAAAACCTTAAGTATGACTCCAAATGTTTGCTTTTTCAAAGACATCTTAAATCCTGTTTTGTATATTTGTGTCTCCTACTTGTTTCAAGCAACACGATATCAATTGCATATTGGAGAATCACAAATTCCAAAATACTTTATCTCAGAAAATTCTAAACATAAATTGACCTTAGTAACCTTAATAAATGACCTTAATAATTGAAGATAGGGCCAGCAGCTACCTAATACAGCTAAGTTTCGACCGTGAAAAAGTAGATCAACCGTTGGTAATGACACATTTCAAATAGAAAGGCAAAATGATGACATCATAAAAATATATCTTTTCGATATTTAAATTTGACCAGGTAAGAAGAAAGAATACATTGAAATACCACTAAACAGTGAAACATACATATGGCCTAATGAGGATATTACTTTGCAAACGGACTGCATTTGTTCTTTCAGTTTCGCAGGTTTAAAAACAAAGGCCAAATTCAAGTAATTCAATGGGGGGGGGCAGCCTGTGATCACGTGACCATATCCCAGGTAATCCGTAACATAATGTGTGAGAAGGAAGAACCGCCGGATAGGCTGTCCACCGGATTCTATGAATCTTGCAATGAGTATGATATAAATACGAGAATAAAATTCAAGAACAAAGCAGTTCGGTGACGAGAATCCAGTGTTATAAGGCAAATTTTCAAAATAAATTGAATTAAACGAATACTAATATTTCGCCCTGGTATACAAGGCTTCATCAGAATAACACATCCGGTTGGCCAACTAAGAAGTATTTCTTGTTGTTCTTTCATTTCATGACTTAAAATCTCAAAAACGCTTTTACGGCCTCACTTTTTTCCCATTATGGGTCACTGTGAAAGTTTTGCTAAACTGGAAAAAGAGGCATGTACTTACGTCCGAGCTATACCCGCATCTTGCGCATGGACCAGATCTCAATTTGAGCTTGCCAACTGCACGTACCTGCTTTTTCAAGTGCGATATTTCTGTAACAGCTGCAAGATAAGATAAATTGCGCTAAAAATATCTAAATATCTTGAAATCGAAATAAAACAGCTAATTTGAAATAGAAATTAAAGATTATAAACAAAACGTTTAACGACTAACATTAGCAGACCTCACCATCTTCGAGCTATACCAAATGTTTTTCGGAGATAATCTACAAACATCTTTGATAGGATATCACCATATCCGTTTTTCATAACACGATTTCGAGAGCAGGTGCTTTTAGCTTGGATTGTAAAAGCACTCCTTCAGCTATTTGAAATCAAGTTAGAAACATGGTTCCTTAAATGCAAAATTTGTGGTCACGATTTGCATCAAGAACGACAGAGTGAAGCCCATTTTTAACTTGCGGTAGATCCTTCGTTCTCCGCCTGCTCTTTTGTTAATACTCACACCCTCTTTTATATGCCCTCGCTTATTTCAGCTGGGATAAATTGACACCCTCTTTTAAGAGACCCATTTTCTATTCGACGCTCTAAAGACTTAAGTTATTTCTCTGGGGGAAATGTCTTATAGATAAATGAAGCTTTATAGAATTTCCCACCACAATTGATCAAATCATAGATCGTATATATCATTAATTTATAATGTATTGAACGCAACGGAATACTTTGCTAAGGACATTGGCAAGCTGCTGCAAAACCAAATAAAAAATTTCGAAACGAAATACGTGATAAACCATTCCACGACCAAGATAAACCTGGTCTCAAAATACAAAGAAGCTGGTTGGCAAAAAGGACTACATAATGATTTCACTATCTTTGACGCAAAGATTATGTACTAAGATGCTTAACATATCGGAATTTGTGTATACTAAGAAAGTTTCCAATGCATTACTATTCTCACTGAGTATCCACATATATCACTCATTTTCAATGCCGTTATCGCTTGCTTGCTTATCTTCAAAAACCTTTAATTTACGTTTCTTGAGACGATATGAAGGAAAAAGCCTAATCGTCTCAAATACTGACAATCGGGTCATATCAATTTGTGGGAAAGATCTTGTTTCCAGAACAAAGAAGCAGAAAATAGGATGCATGAGATGATATTTCTGTCTTATCTTTATTGCTTTATCCATAGCCAGTTCAATCACCGCAAATAACTGTGTCAAAACAGCGTTACGAGATCAAACAATATTCTACATTCACAACAGATCATAAAACAGACTAAATTAGGGGCAATGTTATTGGTAGGGCCAATTCAGCGACATTCCATTCGCAAGGAAGCAAACATGCTAATATAGATGGCAGCTAATTTCAATATTTGATAGGCTTTCAAAAGATGTAAGGGTGATAAGAACTGACTTCTTCCTAAGAAATTTAGACACTTGATGACCATTTTTTGAATTTGGATAGTTTTCAACTGTATTTTTGTCAAAGAAACTTTAAACGGTAAACTGAGTGGAGTGAACTTTGTCTGAAAGCAGCAAATTAACTTGATAGGATAATGGTTGCTCAAAAACTCTTCTTCAAATGAATTGAAGTAAGATTTTAGTTGATGCAGAAAAACATGTATCAGGCAGAAGGCAGAAGTATGCCTTGTACTACCATCTTCTGAAACATAAATCATAAGGATACTAAGAAAAAATAAACTTTATGAATGTGTTTATGAGAGTTTCTAAGGAACTTGGTACAGAAAAAATATTGGGCTATGGTCTTTAAACTATAAATGTATACAGATTAGGCAAGTCATCAACAGCCAGACTTGAGAGAGAGTGGTGTAAATGATGAGAGGCAAGTAGAAGAAGTGTAATTATCAGAGATACCATGTCTGATCATCTACATAGTGAGTGTTTCATATGATGATTACGATAATTATTTGGAACAAGAAGTATACTCTAATGATCAGAGATGCTGTAAGAGGTGATTGCTCGTGTATATATTCTATGTAACTGCAGAACAATGATGAACCAGCTTTGGACAAGAAAGCTTTCAATGAAAAAAGCATGCCTCTTTTCCCCTAAGAAAATTGATGCCCATTATAGATGTTTAATGTTTTAACCTATTGACATTACAAAGTAACAGTAGAAATCATGTTTGCCTGATAGAAATATTAGCAAAATGTTAAGTAGAAATCCATGAAATTTGAACACTATTGGGAAGCTAAGAAACTGGCTAATCACAGGAGGGGGGCAGAAATCTTGACAAGGGGGATTAAAGACCAGATACCACTTCTTCTGACTTTGATATTTGAACAAAAATATTGGTTCTTCTAAATACATTTTCTATCCTAGAAACAAGCCATGTCTTTAACTTTTAACTTTTTTAGAACAGTTGCAAACAGGCTGGCTTTTCAAAACAAGATAAGAAATGGTAAATCATGAGCTATCACTAATAGAGTCGTTCAACAGTATACAGGGTTTCTTAAAAGAGTGCATTAAAAAGGCATAGCTATCCATGTTTAATCAGGGGCCTTAATTTAATGCTGGCCTAAACAACAAACAACATTTTGAAATTAATTTGAAAGAGGTAACTGTTAGGGTCTGTAAGCAACTGTTTATATTCGTAATTTAGCTGAACAAACCACTTTGAATCTCTGTGCTTGTGGGTGACCACATAAAGTCCGCTTTTGTGATCTACTGTCCTGTTGTGCAATGTCCTTGATGCTTGTGAGCATGAAGTAAATGCATGAGGTTTGAAGTTCCCTCTGGCAAACTTACCACAGCTTTTCACGAAAGCTTTCTATTTAACAATAGAACATTTCTACCATACTTCAGTATAAAACCAGACCACTTTTATTTGTAAACACAATTGATAACATTTCTTGTTGTGGTTTAGATAACAAAAAGCTTTAATGTGCTGGGCAACGAAAACAAATCTGTGTATAAATCAATGATTTTATGGGAAAATAAACAGAAAATACTGCCTTTCTGCTTGTGTAGATTAAAACAGTTGCAAAGCAAAACTTTCTCAATTTGAATAAGAGTCTGAAATGAGCCGTCCATAAAAAATTAGGTTCTCCTATATTAATTCAAATGAAAACCTACATTATATAGCAATACTTCTTGCATAATAAATTCAAAAAAAAGTTACTTCCATCAACGAACTTGCAAATATCAACAATCAATGTTTTTAGAAGTAGAGCAAAAATAATGCTTGCAAAACTTTTGATGAAGTAGCACCATTACAGATAATAAAATCAAACAAATTGAAAGCTTTGGTAACACACATCCCTCCTTAACAAAACACCTATTAAACAGGAGGACAGCAAACCAATACCAGCAGGTTAAACATTTTTTATCTTTGTAATTAGGTTGCATATTTATTGTAACTTTTGGGAAACGTTTTTGGAACATCAAGCTCCTTTGGATAAATGGAGAGGTCCTGGGTTTTAATTGTCTGGCCACAAAGACTCTGTTATGCCCAATCCCTTGCTAACTCCCTGCAGACATGAAGAAAATTGAAATTTGATCAGTCTGATTTTAGCAGAATAGACAATGCTCAGACGTGATATAATAAGAACAAACTGGCTGCCCCCAACGAAATGGTACATGCCAGCAGAGTAAAATCCAGGTCTATGCCAATGGATTCTAAGTTATGCAAACTAAGAAAGAGAATGGATTATAAATTACTTTTAGCAAAAGCAAAGTCAAGTGGTGTAGCAGCCCTGGTGATGCTGCAAAAGAATGTAGGTCAGTGTAAAATCACCAGTATAAACTACAAAATCGAATCGGAGAACAGCATCATTCAAGTTCTGACTTGAAGACGCTCACTTGCTGCATAAATACAAACATGTTGCCGGTTTTACGTGAAAAAAATGATTTTTTATCTTCTAAAACCTGTATCCAAAACACTAAACTACGAGTTATTCAAAAGCTAAAGAGGCAATCTTTACTCACCGTTTAACAATTCTCTTTCCAGTTGATTAACAACGACATCAAACGCGTCATTGAATTTGCTAAGCTTTTCCTCAAGCTCCAAATTATACATTCGAAGATTTTTGCATTCTTCTAAAAGATTATAATCGAGCTTATCAGTCTGTGTTTCTGTTTCTTTCTGGGTTTTCTTTTTTGTAATTTTACTTATCCCACCAGGTAGCAGTTTATTCTCGGTTCTCTGATTAGTTTTGTCTGAAGGAATTTCCTCGACAGTATCATTTTCCAGGTCGATCCGCGGTTGTCTGCATACAGTTGGGTCAGCTGGGAATGCATTAGAATCTCCTAAGCAAGAGCAGATTTTATTAGGGAGCGGAACATGTTCCGTGACATCATTGTCAGTTTGTGAAGCAACTGAAGAGAATCGGTGTAATTGTTCGTTTAATTGTTTAAAATCCAAGTCGGTAGTATCATTTAGTTGAAAACCAGGAACAGGGTTGGAAGCTCTAGAAAGGTTCTCCATGATTCGTTCAACTTTGTCGACAGATTCATTTTCATGGACGGTTCTCCCTTTGTCGTTCAAAACAAGCACCATTTTCGGAGATTTCTGTACCTTAGCTCGATGTATCCTTTCCTGGTTTTCCCCACAATGACTCTCTCGAGAACTATACCCTGAGCTTGTTTCATCTACATCATCAATCCTTCCCTTTTCATCGATTTTGCCACTGTTATCAATCATAAAGTTCTTTCCACTGGTCGACACAGCCATTATTGTTGTCTTTCCTTCACCAACATCAAATTTCTGTATATAATTTGAGCCATTGTCACTGCTGACCCCACTGTCTCGTAACCTTAGGCCCATTGTCTCGTTTCCCAACAGACGGGCTCTAGCAAATGGACAGTTTGCCAGCTGTAGTTTTACACCTTTCTGAGTTATGATCTCGCATCACCATCTCAAAGCCTGACCATGGTTACTTGTGGGGACTCGCCACGTCCGAACGTTTGTGTTTAATGATCTCCATTATCCGCCTACATTTCAATCACTCTTGTTCTCGAACACAAACAACATGTGACAATTCGAGAGTTACTACTGCTCCTTCGCATCGATGCCCCAAATTTAACTTGCTCTTGTGTCTCCTAACAACACCAGCGGTCAGCACCGCCAACAACTTGATACAGTCCTTAATTTCTCTATACAATAACAATTAGCATAGACGGTAAAGTACTATATCTTGATTGCTATTCGTCGTACCTGTTCTCTTGTTTGCAATCACCTTTAATCCAAAGTGAATTAAACGCCCATCCTTTTGGACAACGCTGTATAATATTTTACTATGAAAAAGGTTAAGTAAATTAGAAAGCCAGCATACATTAAACATTATCACATATTTACTTATATTTCCATAAACGCTGGAATTTCCGTTAACGTTTCACGCCCCCGCATTTAAAATCGTTTTATTTTTAAACCTCTCTTTCGAGGATAATAAGTTCATAATGGCCCTAGGCGAAGAAAGGATGCACCGTTTTCCATAAATCAGGTTTGATTGACCTAAAAGCCAAAATCCTTTGATCATATACTTTCACCACGAATGTAGCAATTCAAATTAGTATTCTATAAAACCCAATCCTGCAATGGGGGATGCAGCTCATATTAGTTTATATAAAAAGCACTAAGCCAGAGACTTGCAAAATGGCTCAGCGTTTTGTCGTCGATGCCCCTTTATGACCAAAATAATCGTTTGATACCACTCGACAAAAATCCAGGCCCTCTTTAGGTAAAATTGTGCCTTGTGTGCTTTTCCCCTAAAGTTTCTCAACAGAAGCGTCAACTGCAATTCACTATGAGTTCCAGATTTTTTTTAACATTCAAAAGGCATGCTAAAATGGAAAGAGGGATTTAAATTGACAACCAGTGATGCTTGTTACCCAGCTTTAGAAGTAACTGACAACATGGTATTTCTCAAGACCGCGGCGAAATTGTCCCAGTTGATTTAATCTGCTGTTCAATTTGTTTGCAAAAAAATCACCTTCATTAAGATTAGGAGGATTGCTTTGGTGAGATGTGCTTAAAAGAGTGCATTTTCCAGGGAACTAGAAGGATCAAAATTTGCAAGTTTCCTGCTCCTTCGGCGGCAACCATAATAGGGTAGTTACTATATCCTTTGTCCAGTCCGATATGGAGATTTGAAAAAAACCACATAAAAATGAAAGTTGCGAATTATATACAGAGTTAGATTGACAAAATGCATTGCAGAGATTTGTGACAGCAACTAAAGAATTTCAGGCAAGGAATTTTTCAATCAGGTAAATTTGGAATCCACACCTCCCTCCCCCCCTTCCAACAAGGCTTGCCGCGCGATGGCCCTGATTCTAGTATACCCCCGTTTTAAGCAATTCGTTTAAATAACTTGGTTATATACTGTTTATTGACTTGCTTGTGCCTGTCACCCAGAAATGTATTAAGAATCTTGTCACAAAATATTAGATAGGAAGTTTTCCCAGTTAGTCAGTCGATTTTGTAGCCGACCGTGGAGAGACAGCGGAGCCACGGGGGGGGGGAATGGGGGGGGGGACTAGTCCCCTTTTTCAGAAAGTTGGTTCTTGAGATTCTTGCAAACCTGATGAGAAAACTTCGGGGGGGGGGGGTATGTACGTTATTTAGATCGTCACATTTAAAAGACATTTCTTGGAAGACGAGAGGTGTTTCCTCCGGAAAAAAAGTTTCAAACAGGAAAAAAGAGCGTGGTCCGTGACACACCTTTTGTCCCCCCCTCCCCCCTCACTTATCTCAGGCTGGAGCCGCCACTGGAGACATGCCGTGCATCTAGAAGATAAATGTCCAAAGAAATGTGTCCGATTAAATAGCCGATTTTGCTGTCATTTTCAGTGGCTTGGTGGTAGCAAACTGACTAGGGGGCATCAATCTTTTTGGCCCACCCTAGAGCACTACTTCTTTGGTACAACTCTATCTGAAGGAAGATCCCAGGAAAGGTTTGGCAAAAAGATTAGTGATAAAGGCCACCACAATTGTTGGCGGCAAGAAAAATTTCACAAACTTGATGTTCTAGGATGGCGGATAACTCATCTAAAACATTACAAATAAGATTTAGACCGGAAGAAGATTCTAGGAAATTTTCCTTTATCATTAAGGCAAGATTATTTAGGGATTGAGAGAAGGTCGCCACTATTGTAAGGAGCACGCATTGCAGTACCCTGGGTACCAGACTCACTATATATAGCATTGCAGGAAACGGCATCCAAAACATCTACAATATACAATAAATACAACTTAGATATGTACTTACATTAAGGCCCAAGAAAGATTCTAGAAAATATTCATAAGCCTTTTTATCATTATGCCCCATAGTTTTATCTGGTTTGTATTTGACATGACCGCTATATAACAACGATAAAAGTCTTCACATTTCAGGAGCATGTTTCATAACAAAGAATAACATAAGAATATCAACAGAAAGGTTGCATTATTAAAAACACAAGGCTAAGTAACTTTGTAAAGATTTTGCATTATTTTGTAAAACCTGCTCGCTTAAATTTCCTTTATAAGCTATATCTCATGTCAAAGCTCCGTGAGGTTAAGCAAATCTGTGTGTTACCCAAGGACGCTTGATATGGAATGGCCGCAAAGAGATGCTGGGAAGTTTGGAAGCTATCGCACTCTAGAGCGTCACGGGTTTTCAACTGGTGGCAGAGAAGGTGGAACGGTGCGGGAGTGCGGAGAAGAGAAGAAAAAGAAGAGGAAAGACCCCCTTATTTTGAAATATGCATCTTTTGGGGGCCCGGCCAATACGAGTTGTCTTTTCGTGCACGTTTCATTTAAAAGGGTTTTAAAAGGGGTGCCTTTTAAAGAGTTGGGTCATTTTCGGCGCCCCCTGACTTCTTTTGGGGGCGCGTGGTGTCGCCCATGTACAACATGTGATCATGGTTCAGAAGTTATAGCTTTTCTATCGTCCCGGTCATGAAGTTCAACCGTTATTGGATTTTATGATTTGTTTGATGTTAGTTTTTACCATAGTTGTTACAATGATAAACACTAGTTTTGTTTATATGCATTTGTTTACATGAAACCAAGTTTAATTACATTTTTTAATTCTTTAGAATTTTGGGCTGTTTCATTTCATCTAGAAGTGAGTTCCAGATTTCCAGCTCTTGAAATCCGTGTGATCGGATACCATAATTTGTAGCTTTAACCTTTGGTATCATAAAGGGGCTTCAAAAACAAAGGCTGGGTCTCGTAAGGTCTCGTTAGTTTTCGCAAAAAGTTAAAAAGGATTTAGAATTATTTCTTAAACCATATGTTCCAACAATAGTACTGTTTCACTTTTAAACTCAATTTCAATACAAATCTAAATTACTAACTAATGCAAATACTATACTAGTTTATTAGATGCATAGGACAGCACGAAATCATTTTGAAAATGTGCAAACAAACCTTTAATTCATTAAATTCAGCTTTAAGAATGTTCCTTCAGAGTGATTCATTTGATTGGTTTCAACGAACATGCTACACATTGACAACATATTCCAGGTTTCTAATGCGTGGACCTTTTGAAGCTTGCACTCCAAAAGCAAGGACAATCTCTAATGGCATAGAAGCTGTGAGATGTTTAGGTCAAAAGCTGTGGCAAATATTACCTCACATTATTAGAGATTTCAAATAACAACTTCCTTTAAAAAGAATTACGAACCCGTACTTTGGAATGTGAGTTAGATTGTTTAAAATGTTCATTTCTGAATTAGATGTTATTTAGATCATTAAACTTCCAACCTTTTTTATACATTGCACCATGCATTTATTTTGTGCCTACATTAGCTTCAATTTAGCAATAAGTCTTCGATACAGACCTTACGCCAATTTGAAACAAATTATTTATCGGTTGCGGAAGTCATGGTAAACTTTTATGATAACTGCAAGAAAAACTCATGCCTGGGTCTTTTACGCCTTTTAAAACATTTGAAGATAGTTTCAAAAACATCGTTTCGCACAGCTGAAGCCATATCCTCGCATTACGCAAATCCATTTGGGCCATTTTGCAAATCTCTTTACTCTAAACCACAACACTGAAAGCAGTTTGACATCATAGTTAATTAAAACAGTCATTAATTTTTCAAGGAACATATTTCTCCTGTATTGGTTTTTTGATCCAACAAATGGACCGAGCCAAATGGACCGAGCATATCCTACTACCACTAATCTTTCGCTTTCATGTTTGCTCCATTGTTTAATTACGCGCGATTTTGCGTGTGGCCTTGCCATTCAGATGAAACATTATAAGCTCTAGGAGAATGATTGAATTAGAAAACTTCCAGATTCTTCTTATCAGCCAGTCTCTTCACCGAAGTGCTGATATGAACAATGAGATTTCAATCACCCGGCATTATCTCTAGTTATCTATAAGCGCTTGTCAAATTTGATTGGCTAAAACAGTTTACCAATCAGAGTGACGATTAGTGATAAAGGGAGATAAACGAAAAAAGTCTCCTTTCCTAGTTGGCATTTTAAGCTATTATACTTCCAGTGAGAGTGCGTAGATCAGGCAGATCTATTTTTATCAACACTGAGTATGTTGGAGGACGCATAAAGGTAAAATCAAAGGGAGCACCAATGCTACCGCCCATTTACCGCGCCAATCCCACTTTATTAGTCACGTCACTAGGCAATTCCACTTTTCCTTTGTTTGTTGTTTAACAGCTTGGTTTAGATACTGAAAAATGTGGAGAATATTGCCAATTTAAGCATCTTCTCTCTGAAACTTCTCACTGTAGCTATAGCGTCTATCAATTACCAAACTGTTTGCTGCAATTCATATCCATATATCCATGCACTGACAAACAGCATCGTGTGAAAGGATTATTGTGTAAATAGCTTTGAAAAAAGCAAACATTTAGTAAACTAAAGCTTTTCGTCTGACACTCTTCAGAGTTTAAAACGTCAGAACATAGATCGAAAACTCTACGCTAAGAAATATATATACCCAGTTGTGGATCGAAATAGGCCATCCAGAAACACGAGCACATGACTGTAAAGGTTGACCAATCAGTGCCGCTTGCCTATTAGAATGTTACCAATGGAGTCCTAAGGTGAAAACGAACTCCTTTTGTCTACACAGTAGCGGTTTTTTCGTGCTTATGTAGATAGATACTAAAACTGCTAGGTGGAACGACGATCGGGCTTTACCAATAATCCGAAACATGTCGCCATTATAGTTTTTTGCACAAACTGGGTTTTCTAGCAAATGCTGCCCGATAGCAGAATCGCAGGTCTTATTAGTAATTTTGGATTTGCAAGACCGAGGTGGCTGTTCTCTTTGGGGATGTGTTTTGTTTCTAATATTAGATGGAACGTGTTGTTTTATCCTATCCTCCAATCTTTGGGTGGTGCGTCCTACGTAGCCAGAATCACACTGGCACGTGAATTCATACACCACATAACTTTTTTTTGTGGCAGGAACGCAGTCCTTTTGAATGGACGGAAGGGCCTTTTTTGTACTGTAAACAACACGTAGGTTAACCGCGAAGAAACAATTTGTTATGGCCTGTTTTATTTGGCTTTCAAAACGTAGGGAGCTGTTACCGATCCAAGGTAGTTTTAGATAGACCGGGCACCTTTACAGTCATGTGCTCGTGTTTCTGATTGGCCTATTTCGATCCACAACTGGATATATATATTTCTTAGCGTAGAGTTTTCGATCTATGTTCTGACGTTTTAAACTCTGAAGAGTGTCAGACGAAAAGCTTTAGTTTACTAAATGTTTGCTTTTTTCAAAGCTATTTACAAGTTTTGTACCACCAAAAGATTGTTTGATTATTGTGTACGATGTTCATGTCCGTGAAACTTTCAACTGGTTCATGTCTTTTAGTTATCAAACAGCAAAGATTCTGCTGAGTATTTTTTAGGATTTTGAAACCTAAATCGCTATGTTTTGTAAGAAAATTTGCTTCAGTGAGCTTTATCGAGACGGCTTGATGGATAGGATCGTGGACAACAGATCCAAGGGTCTGGGGTTGAGACCCTGGCATGGCCATACTTTTACACGGTGTGAGGGGGGTCACTAGCTCTTAACAAAAGTTGTGTGAAATGTTTAGTGAAATGTTTAGTCGTTTGCCAGGGCTTTAACACTAATTCCAGCCATAGGAATCACGGGGTGTGGTCACAACGACAGGAAGGACCAGGACACTGCTCGGAACTTTTAAAATGAAATGGTCTAAATTCATCTAAATTGGTACGATATCTTATAAACTGTAGTGAAGAGATCATCGTGGCAATAAGACCATGCGGCTGCATGGAATCAGTTTCATTGTTTCTCAATCAGTTCAAGTGTATCTCAATTTACGAAATGTTGAAACAAAAAAGTACAAAAAGGCACAAAGTAACATTTTTGGTTTTTATGTTAGAAAAAAAATTTTTTGTACAAATTTCAACTATAGTCAATTTTTAGTGTTCTGCAACAAATACACGCTAGTATATACACACAAGATTAAAATATTTTTCCATTCGACCGGGAAACAGGCAGTTTTAAAACTATGAATTTGTGATTTTGCTTGCCAACTTGAAAGGGTTTATCTTAGGCAGTTTGTGATTATCACAGGATTTCTTCTCTTCCTCTATTGGCACAATGGCAATTCGAATACCGTTTTGCAGTGAAAACATTATCTTCGTGCATTCATCTCCTGCAATAAAAAATATTGATTATTTGTCGTTGACAATGTTGAAATTTATCGAAATCATCCGCCAAATCTGATAAGTGTTGCTTGCACTGATCTCTATAAAAGATTGGATCGAGCTTCTTATTGTTTGACCCACAAGAGAACCGAGGCCCGCCATATTTGATTAGGCTCTTGAACCGTGGGACCCACCGTTCACCGCGAAACACCGAAAGGAACCGACTGTTAGGCCCATTGGACGTTTAGCACGACAGTTAACGTCTTTGATCACATCAAACGTTGGGAAATTTTTATAGTTACAATTCTGGTCTGTTTTTCATTCTAAATTTATATCCAATAACTTATCTTGGACATAGTTATTTGTAATCTTATGTAGGCCCACACTCTACGATGGGTCCCACGCGGAAAAGCAACATTGACCTCAATCTGAAACGGCAGAAGCTCGATCCAGTCTTTTATAAAGATCAGTGGTTGCTTGTAGTCTGGGTCAAGTCACAAAGCAAACGGCGAAGGAGTTTGCCTCCACACAGTTTAAAGTTGTGGTCGAGGCAGGCTTCGGTGCTTTTTACTGAAGAAATTTACATTGCTATTTGAAGTTTACTAGAGACAAGGACATTATAAAAGTAATGTTTTTTAACGTTTTTGGCGTTTTCTTGAGCCTTCTTTTGAAGAAGACATATAAAAATTAGGCAGATTTTTGCAAAGCAGCTACAAACTTGGCACAAAATAGAGTAACAAAATTATTTAAGAGATTACGAGCTAAGTAAGAAATTTAAGAGCTAAGATACTTCTTTGTAAAAGATTAAATCAAATGCCCTGTCTTCATACTATACGCGCTGGTAACTCTTCCCCCAAAGATCAATGATTGGGTGCTTCGATGAAAAGAATACCGCATAAAAAATGATGCACGCAGGCTCTACCACCCTCTAAACAACACTGATCTGCGGAAGATCATTCGTCACTAGCTT